TAAATTATCCAAATTAAAATCAAATGGTCCAAATCATTCGCCACTATAAGAAATAAAACCTTTAAAAACATTCTCAATTATCTGTTGTTAAAAATAAAACACTCTCAATTATCTAACAAACCGCAAGAAAAAAAGGTGTTAGGTCTATGATTAGAAAAGAAATTAAAAAAAAATAAAGTGTTAAGAAGAAAAAGGAAAATAAAAAAATATCTATTAAATTTGAAAATCATAAATATGATTTTGACATATTTTGACATTTTGACATGTCAAAATTATTACAAGAATAGTTAAAAAGAAAACCAGGGCTAATCAAAATCATTACAAAATTTTGACAGATTTTGAAATTCAACGAGCATTTTTTGGGTCATTTTTTCTTAAAAAATAAATATAATTTCATTAAAAATGAGATAGAATTTAGCTATAATAAAAATAATTAATTTAATTTACTCGAAAACTTAAAGGAGAGAATGAAGAAATTGAAAGGCGAAAAACAACAACAGAGGCTAGTTCATGTGAAAAATATGAGGTGGGATAAGAGTCGTGTCATCATAATTAATATGCAACCGAAAACATGATATTTCATCACAAAAAATTTGTGACTACAAATTTGTTATTATGGCATTAATTCATGATAAATTCGTCATCACAACAGCTCAAATCTGTTACAAATTTATTTGAAATTTTATCACAAATCCACCTCAAATTTTTCTGTTTTTTTCCCTTCAAGTCTTTAATGTCCAAATTTTCCTTAATTAAACACCTCCACTCAATAATCTTGATGCCGATGAGTTGAAATTTTCCATAATTAAGCTTAATAGCCATAGTCTCAGGTTGACATTTGGAAAAGGAGTTCTTATGCTATTCCTACCGTAGTCTCATTTGCCATTGGTCCGTATATTGCTGTGCCGTCCTAACGTGAGTTTCTACTTTCTAATATTAATGGGACAGAGAGAGCTGTATTACACGCATTAGTTTTGCTGTTCATCACAGTGATAAGCATCATCATATTCATCAAATCTAAACTATTTAAATTTAAAATATGTCTGATGTTAAATACTACCTCTAGTCTTAAATATAAAAACTAGTTGGAGATTCTGTTTGGTTATACACATAAGACCATAATCCATTTTATTTTCTATTTTTATTCATGTTTTCTCACAGTAGTTCTTATGATAATTGCGTATATTTCTATACTAATGCATATAATTAATAAGAACATTTCAAATTAAAAAACACACACACACAAAAAAATCCTTCAAAAGGAAACCTGTAAACGTAACTAAATATAACACCACAGAGACATACATCCTAGACGTCCTATCCTTATAAGAACTATATTAAAAATGTCAAGGCCTAAACTAGGTTCTTGTCCTGAGACATCTATTACACAAGATAATAACCACGTTATAAGATATTAGATAGTTCGCCACAAAAGTAGGGGCTTCTCTTGCGACGAACGACCCATGATCAATAGAGAACCCATAACACAAACAAACACAAACACATACAGAGAGACCACTGATCAACAATTCAAGTACAATAAATTTAGGGGGTTACAATTCAAATATCCCAAAAGATGATGACACACCAATACACTTGATGGAATATAATGGATTTACATTGGGTGCTCATCAATTTTAATGAGCACCCAATGCTCATCAAATCTGGACTGTCCAAATCTGATCTGGAGGGTCCAAATTTATTTTTATTTTATTTTTTAAAAATAATTATTTTAATAGGTATAGGATAAAAAATAAAGATAATCTCTTAATTATCATTCTTTAAAAATATAATTTTCATTTTAATATAATTATTTAATAATATTAAATTTGAACCGTCCAGATTGCTCATCAGGTGATGAGCATTGGGTGCTCATCACTTGATGAGCACTGAATGGGGACCTGAATATAATATGCATTAGAACCTCAATTAAATCCCAAACAACACAGTTAAAGTCAAATTAGCAAGTGAAAACCCCATAGATTTCAAAACTCACTTAGCAATATCTAGGTAGATATAGTGATTAGATAGGTATAGAAGATGATAGAAAGCATTAACTTGTTACGTGGTAACCCTTGAAAACACTTTAAAAAGTGCTTTTACGGAAGTTGAGATAAAACTCCACTGATATACTTCATCTACTATAAAATCACTTTTAAAGTTATGGTTTGGTTTCAACCCAAACATTCTCGCCTAAAAAAAAGCATTCCTAATTGATTGGGATATGGAACTCCAGCAGAGCTCTATGATTTGGACCAACCCCCGCCTTTCCCTTTCTTATTATTATCCCAAATGCCATGATCCAAATCTTATTGGATTTTTTTTTTTTTGACTAAGTACAAGTATCTTCCTATTAAATGTAATCCTGTTTGAGATACTAAATATGGATACCTCTTTCAATGAAAACTTGAATCCTAATTCACCACGTTGTGAGAAATTAACTCTTTCTATTAGACCTAACTCCTATTGGTTGAATTTTATCTAATTAGGAAAGTGTGCTGCAGCACAAAGTGTGCGTGTGTGTGCGCGTGTGTGTTATGGCCCATAGGACAAAAGAGGGCCCAATTTTTTCTTTGGATTTTAGGCCCCAAACCGGTCTAACATGTATATTAAGCCTTATTTACATGTATTAGACTTGAAATGCTAATTCCTAACCGATTTTAAAATTGCAATTTAATTCAAATTCACCAACCAAATAATGAGGTTGGGTCTAACAACAAAAGTTAATCCTTTATAATATAGCAAATCAATATTCAAATTCATATTAAGAAAAGTGCCTATATTTAGTGTTTGACACTGTCTCAATTGCCTCAAATGAGAGAATGTATGTGCCTAACAAAAAAATATTAATTCAAATTCAAACTCAAGCCAAATTAAATTACCCTGAACACTCCAAGACAATTCTATAACTCATTTTGACTTTAGTCTATTATAAAAAAAATAAAAATTGTGATGTTACAACCACAATTAGGAAAAGGCTTTTCACGATGACTATTCATGGCAGTTATCAAGAAAAACACTGCTAAGAAAAAGGTGGTGATATTTTTGGAACCATTGTGAAATCCTCATTTTATTACACTGACAACATTGACGTTGCTCCTAAAACTACCATGAAAAGACCTTTTTAATTACCATAAAAAGCGCTTTTTTCAGTAATGAACATTGCTAACCTTACGGTGGGTTACATAAAATTTTACTTATATGTCCCATAATGACCTTGTGATCACCAAAACAAAAAAACAAAAAACACCTGATTCCTTCCTCCATTTCATCCCACCCAACTTATATTCTGTGTACAACACCATCTTCACTGTTACTTTGTGGAATCAATCCGAAGTACTTAAACTTTGTAAATTGTGGTATCTTCTAATGCTCTTCAATATTTACCTCCAAATTAATTCTAACTTATTTCTTATTAAATTTGCAATGCACGTATTTGACCTTGCACTTATTCTAGCGAAAACTTTTCGATTCCAAAATTCACCTCCATAACTCTGGCTGACTAAATAATTCCTCTTCTCCAAACACCCAATCAAAACTGTATCATTTGCAAAAAGTATGCCCCCGGGGATCTCCTCTTAAATGGACTCACTGCTGGGACTAACAAATAAGGATTCAAACATAATTATTGATGCAAACCATCCTTGCTTCCGAGCATTCTCACACTAGTTGATGCTTCTTTATGCATACTCGACACCTCTAATAAGCAAAACAAATACCCTTCTTTTCTAAATCTCTTCAAAGCATATCTCTTAACGATCATAAACTTTTTTAGGTCAATGAAAGTCATATACAAGTCTTTTCCCTGATAAAATTGTATAAACGGCTGTTCAAACAAGACAAAGTTTCAGTCCTCTAAGGTGTCTCTATCTCATCCACATGTCATTTATTTCTTGATCGCTTTCATGCAACAACATTTTAAAAAACACAGTAATCCTTTCGCTTAGCCATAGCGCGCTTCATTATAAACTTTTGGTTGCTTTAAAAAGACGTTCCAAAAGAACATTGGATTTAAATTTAATAGAAACTAATTAAGCATAGCAAATAATCATCACTTTCAAAGGTTTTTCCTTTATCTCTTGGTAAATTTACAATTGAAACATTGTTAGAAAACTGGTTCCTCTCTGACATGGATATATTTGCCAAATAATGTATCAAAGAGATCTTCTTGTCAAAGAAAGTTGAAATCACATTAGAAGGTCGCCTCCAATGTTGGCTAAAGTAAGCAGTAAATCATCATCATTATACTCCTTCGATCTTTAATATAAAACCCATTTAACTAATTTGATTAGATTAAGAAAGTTAGGTGAGTTAGTTAATTATAAGAAATGTGACACTTTTTTCCTAAAATACCATAATCATTTTTCTTAATACCTCCATTCCTCTTCTAGCTACTTGATTATGGTTGAGGGAGTATCTATAGGGATAATTTAGAGAAAATTGATAAATATGATCTATGGTCTTATATTTAGGACCAAAACCAACTGAACAATTAGATTTATATTAAGGACCATAGGAGTAATTATATAATTATAATTGATCTTATTCTCAAACTTGAAGGACCTCATAAAATAACAATGAGGTGAGTAATAAGCCTTGCAAAGTAGAAAGGCACTTTATTACCAAACTAACGAATAGCGATAACCAATCATCAAAATAAATGTACATGTGCATGCTATTATATATTATAATGTTCGAGTAATACATACAACCATGACTAATTTGGACATTTATTCATCGTATAAACAAAATATATGTTAACTTTAAGCCGTATCCTAATCCTATGAAATAACAACTTCTCCCTAATCTTATTAACTAATTTCCTAATTTTATTAAAGTTGTTGATAGAGTGCTTTTTTTTTTCATACACTGTTAATCGAGTGTTACATAAAGGACCAGACGGAGTATAACAATAACACTAATATAGTAACTGATTAAATTCTTACCTTCATGTATTGCATTAACTTGTACATCAGGGTGAATGGATATGCCAATGCCGTTCAATATATAAATCGTTCTCTACTGCTTCCTTCACATGGTCGTCCCGGTGGCGCGAACACATTGTAGCTCATGGACCGCCGTATTCCTCCGTGATTCGTCAGAACTAGCTTCCTCACATCCTCCGACAACCTCAGAGTATACCTCTCCGTGTCCTTCCCTGCTGTTTCAACCAAACTCAGCAGAGAGTGACCCGTGGAATGACACCTTCCCAACCTGGTTCTTCTTTCTCCTGAATTATTAAGCTCCGTTCTTCTACTCGCAGAACTTTCATCGAACTCATGTTGTGCATTTACCGGATCCTGAATTACGATCACAACATCATCGCCGTCCTTGTCACCACCATGGTGCTCCGGCGTCAGCCTTGTGCGACAAACTGGGCAAGTCACATGGGAGCCTAACCAGGCATCGATGCATTGAGGGTGAAACACGTGGTTACATATCGGAAGCAATCGGAGCGAGTCGTGGTGATCGAACTCGCTCAAGCACACGGCACACTCCAGAGCTGCACTATCAAGCCTGAGGTGTTTGATGTTGGAATAGACGAGGATGGGGAAGGTGTTAAGTAATTTAGGGTCGATGCCTTGAGAACTGGAGGAAGAACAATGGGCAGCGATGCCAGTGGCCGCCACTAGGTCGGCGTCGGAGCAGTGTCTGAGGTAGATGGAGAAGAATACAACGAACAAGAAGGAGCAGCCGAGGGCCACAACCACGGGAGTGAATGATGGGTCCCAGCTGGGGATTCCTGAAAAATGAGGATGAGAAGGAGCTAGTTGCCAATCTGACTTGGCTTCAACGGCGGCCGACGAAAGAAGGAAGAAGACGAGAATGTTTGAGAGTGTGATTCCGTCCGTCATATGGATATTATCGGAAACTCAGTGAGGTGGCAGAGGGGGAGAGAGAGTGGGAATTACTGAATTAGTACTGATTTATTTGGCTTTGTTAAAATAGTAGTTGTATTTTGGCTCTACTACATAACAATTATAATAAGTGAATAGTTCGACCCTCATATAGATTTGGGTTAAGTTAGAAATATTTCTTAAGGTAAATCCAAATGATCAGCAGCTTGAAATATTTTTTTTAGGAGGGCTTAGCACCTTAAATTATATGATTTATTAGGTGTGACATAAAGTACTGTTTCATGTGTGCGCAATACCATAAATTACTAAGTATTAAATTGCAATTAAAAATATTTTACTGTGTGACGTATATAAAAAAATACTACAGGATGCTAAATGCACCAATTAATACTTTAGGCCGATGCACCTAGAAAAATAATTCAATGTGCCCCATGCACCTTGATCTTGTAAATTTTTTGAATCCTCATTCAGCTGCTCATCATTATGATATAATCTAAATCATCCAAAATCTAAAATAGATGGTTTAGATTAAGCTGCAATTTTTTAATAATAAATTTATTTTTTAAAAAAGAAATGTTAGTTAAAAAAGTTATATTAGTTAAAAAAAAGTTATATTTATTTAAAGTTCACATCTATTAAAGTAAAAAAAAAACTATTTAAAATATACACATTTAAATTAAATCCGGACCATTAATCCATGTTAAGATGAGTACTCCATGTTTATTATTATGATGAGCACCGAAAGTACTCCATAACTTAACAATGTATTACTCTCAATACTTGGGGAGAGATTGTACTGTAATTCCTACAGAATATACTCTAAATAAAACCAAAAATAAAATTAGGATTAAATATTGACTTGGTTACCATATGAAAAGCATTATGTACAATCAAATGGCTAAAGACTTGCGGCTTGGACAAAAACCAGAAGCGGGAACAATGGTTTAAGATAAGACTTTCAGTCATCCATCTTCAATATTCCTGTAAATGTTCATTTTCAGTTTATCTTATATTTTTAATATTTAATATTTATTTGATACCTTATCTTTATATTTTAATTTTATTGCTTGGAGATGATTTAAACGTTCCCTTCTTTAACAATATAAAATTATTTAATAGAAAAATATTATATAACTTTTTTTCCCGTAACGATTGATAAGTTTTTCAGATCAATTAACTGATAATGGGCTAAAAGATCTCTTAGTAAGACACATTTATATACTTGGATAATAAGATACCGCATAATGATAATATATCGTATTGTAGCCTTTGGGTACCTTTTTGAAACAAAACGATTGGGCAAAACTGAAATGTCGCTTTTCAATGAAGCTAGAAGAATTTTTCAAAATTTGAAAGATTAAAATAAATTCAATCACACTTTTTAGGTCTTTAATATAAGATCTAATTAATTAATTTGAGTATACTAAGAATGTCAGTTAAATTAGTTAATAAGATATTTTTTTTAAAGATACCCTAAGCATCTTTTTTAATTCTCTTCCTTCTTCTCTTACTTAATTATTATTGGAGGAATATTAATAGGGTTAATTTGAGAAAAAAATTGATAAACTTGTAAAATAGATTTTACATATAAGACTAATATTAACTCCTCAATTAGATCTTATATTAAGAACAGATGAGTATATATGAATAATAACTAAATTTAACACGTAGTGAATTTAACATGTTAAACTTTTTATTAAAAAACATTAGTCCAAAGCATAATTGTTATTATTATGAAAAGCACGGAATCCACACTTTGGCCGCATGATGGGAAATCGACCACGTCAAGGAATGAAGTTAAACGGGAAAAAAAAAAAAAACAAACGAAATGATGTGAAAGAAACTTGTGGTAAATCTAAAATGTGTTAAAATAAGCTAACAAAAATTGGGGAGTTGATGGATAATAATTTGGTTCAGAATTTATAAGGTTGTGTATTCAAATTCCTTATATGTAATTACTTTTATAAACCTTTTTTGAGTCTAAAAATAGTTTTGAGCTACCAAAATCCAACTTATCTAAATTTATTTTTAGGTTAATGTAAACTTTGGTTCTTTAAGTTTGTTCTCATTTTGATTTTAGTTCCTTAAGTTTCAATTCATAGGTTTTGATTCATCAAGTTTATTTTCATTTAAAATATTAGTCCTTATAATCCAATAAATGCTTAGATCATTTTGTCATTTGAGCAATCAAAACTAATAGTTTAAAATTTGAGGGCTAAAACTAAAATAAACAAACTCGAGAGATCAAAAATTATATTAACCTTTATTTTTTTAATAAAAAATCAAAAAGTAGTTATTAATTAATTTAGGAAAAATTTTCAACAAAGAAACAAAGGTTGGAGGCAAGTTTCATATTGAATTTTATAATTTATTTTAGAACTCACGATTTGAATGTGTGTGTGTGTGTTAATCATATCTCTCTTTACCATAATCATAATAATTACAATTAAGAAAGTTTATGTCCGGGGCCACAGCAACAATTATTAAACTAGAATCGACTAAAATAATTCTCAATAAGAGACAAAAATTATTAAAATTTGATCCTCTGGATTAGACTGGAAATGCCGTCTTCTCTTTGGTTTACTTTGCGTAAGAAAACTATCTTTCCAAATAAATTAACATTTATGTGGCTATGACAATCAAAATTCTATTTTTCAGCTGAAAAATGATTAATTATAAGTTTTATTTCAAATTATAAAAAATTTAAATTCTTATCATGATCTTGAGTCTATTTTTCCTCATTTAATTAGTTCTTCTCTTTCATTCATTCTAAACATCTTTTGAAGAATGTTTTGTTCCTATTTCAATGCATGCTAAAAATTTTTATATCTACCTTAATATATTTTATTCTTTGTTTGGCCATCTACCTTAGCATATTTTAGAACAAAATACTTTGATCATCCTTCTATTTTGCTTTAATTACACAAACATCTCCTATATATTAAAAACATACATTTTAATCTAAACCATTAATATCGTTAAAGAATATCCTAAAAGGATTTTTTTAAAATATATTGTTTAACTAAAAACCATGTTAGAATAAATCTTATTTACTACTTCGCCCCTCATAATATTAAATCTCTATTTTATCTTTTGATATTTATAGATTTAATATTATATTAAAACTCTATTTTTCCTTTTTAAATAATTATAATTTTTAAGAGAAGGATGTTTGACTGCTTTTTAGTATGGTAATAAGATTCACCATAGGAACTATGATTACCAAAGATTTGGTAATCTCTATTCATACTTTCCCCATATGAATAGTGATTACCACTTAGCTGCATATTTGAAAAAATCTTATTTGTCCTCAATATCTAGTGAAAAAAGACACAAAATAACCTCAATCCCCCTCCCATCTTCTCATTTGACTTCTTCCGTTGCCCCTCTCTCTAACATCTCCACTGCTGCTAATGTCACTCACCCTACCCTTATCTTTTTTCACCTCTACTGGAGTGTTCATAAAACCCGGTTGCCTGCCCAAACCTGCAAAAAAATGCCCAACCACCTTAAAAAAATGGCTCAAAAGAATTATTGGGCATGTTTGGACTGGACAAATTGTCGGGCAGGGCTGGATATCAAGTACGGTATGCTGTCTACCCATTTGGCCATGCCAGCAAAAATATATATAATGTTATTTATATATATTATTTGCCTCATTTATTTCCTGAATCAAATATACTGTTACATCAATATTCAGTGTTTACTATACTTATTTATTTTTGAATGATTTTGAGAGTTAGACGTCTTATCATTTACTATGATCTGAATGACCATTCTCTTTTTTAATGCAAACATTATGACTATTGGCAATTTGTATATTGGGAGATAAGTAATTATACATCATTTATTTTAAGCATGACTTCGATAGTCTATGGAAGGATAATTAAGTTATTTTGAAATTTGTTTTGTGTCTTATTTTTCTACAACCGCCATCTCTTTGTTTGGTTAAAATTAAAAGCTTATCAAGATACTTTAAAAATTTATTAAAAACAAAACAAAGTTTTTTTTTAAATATAACTTATTCCATCCTCTTATGAGTATTTGGGAGTTATGTAAAAAAAAAATTCATATTTGGTTAAGAAATTTTAAAAACTAGAAAAGCAATTAAGTTTAATAAAATATACTAACAATATTTTTTTATCATAGTCCACTCCTCTTAGCTACTACAAAAAGTAGTTGCATAGTATATTAATTAGCAATAACAAAATTAAGGCTAAGTTGCCATTTTAATATAAAAGACATAAATAATTAGTTAATTAATATAGTATATTGACTTCTTGGGCATAAAAGCCCCCTGCCCAGCCCGAACTTATTAGGGCTTTTCATGGACAGGGTTGGGTAACGGATTGTATTTTTCAGCCCGTTCATTCTTCAGGCCAGGCATCAGGCAGGGGTACTGTTTTGTCCAGCTCTACCCATGTGCAACCTTAACTTCCACCTTCATTTGCCATCTGCTACAATGCTAGCGGAGCATTTTTATTCAATTTCGATAAAAGCTCCATCCCCAATTCTAACACTACTAAAAAAAATTCTTTTACACTAGATAGAATGAGCATTTGACATCAGAAAGACGATCGGTGTAGAAACGGACAGTATTAAAACTCTGATCTTTTTCCACCAATTGCAAAACCAATGTAAAAAATGTTACTTTTAACACTGATTGTTATTCCAACCGGTGTAAAAAAATAAAACAAAAAAATAAAAATAATGAAAATATCTATGATTTTATGAGATTTGATAAAATCCCAGAAATAGCTGCGATTAAATCACAGCTTCTTCTAGGATTTTTATCATATATCATAAAATTCAGATCTCATAACATTGCAACAAACAATCCAACAATCCAACAAATAAAGAAATAGTATAAGAGTAGAAACAATCATATCTAATGAGATTGTGAAAAAAAATAGCCAAGTTTTTCAGAAATGATATTGATTCATATCGGTTTATATAATAAAAATACATTTGTTAAACAAAGTTCAAAATTATTCATTAAACAAACAAATAAAGAAAGATCATAAACTTAAAACAAATATGGTGGTGATGAAGATGACTACAGAACTATACAAATATAAGCATCTGGATAACAACACAATGAGAGCTTGAGATAGCATGGATTTGGATGCGTTGAATACAAATCTTGACGCCATGAGCACAGATCTGGATGATGTGAGTATGGATATCTACTTGATAATTGTGGAGAAGTTGATGAACCTGAAGAAGATGACAAGCACATAGAAGATGACGCATTATAAAGGAGACGAGAATGAAGAAGACGTCACAACACAAAGGAGAAGAGCATGAAGAAGAAGACTAGCATTGAGGTTACTGGTGAATAAAGTATAAAAAGGAGCTTATGAGAGAACTTAAAGAGATTACAGGAGAATGAAGTTTGGTTTAGAAGAGGCAGCTGCAAAATGAAGTAAGTTAAACCTTTAGGATTGAAATCACCTTTTGAAAGCTTATAAATATCATTTTTTTGAAAAAATATTCTTAAAACTTTTTACACTGCTTTTAATAAATATCCAGTATAAAAAGTATATTATAAACCGATTGTATGAGAAACCGGTCTAAAACTTGTAAATATTTTTTTTAAAATATATTTTTTATATACTTTTTACACCTGTTGCACAAAAAATTGGTGTAAAAAGTATATTTTGCACCACACCGATTGTATGTGGGACAAGTTTAAAAATCTATCAATATTTATAAAAATGTCACCAGTCATATTTTTTACGTCATTGTCACAATAAACGATGTAGATTATGCGGTGTAAAAAAGGTTTTTCTAGTGGTGTGATTCTCTCTCAATCACATTTCCAGCTATGATTCTTTCTCTTAATTGCACAGCCAGGCTTAGCTTTTGCTTCAGAAATGCTCTGAATCGCCTCACAATCTAATCCTTTTGAATTTCTCAAGGGCCTAGAGAATTTAGTTCCACATCTGCATAGTTGGTTTGATATTTGGTTAAATGTTCTTTGCATTTTCGATTTTGTTAATAAAGCTAGTTTTTCTTGTAGGTTTTTTTTTGGATTTTGTTCTCAAAATCATCATTTTTGTTCTGGTTTTTGAGTATGATCTGATTAAGTCTGCTTTCACTCGTGATTCATGGATTAAGATTAATCTGTTGAAGTCGAATTTGTGGCTTGTTCCTCTTTTCAATTTTGCTGCCTAGTTGCCATTGATGAAATCCAGAAAGAGGAGGCAAACTTTTTTGTTGGATGAGGATATTTTTGTCTTTTTGATTTTTTTACATATACGATTTAATATACAAAATTTTCTTTTGTTCATCTCCAATATCATACAAAACATTTTAATGGTAAGGGAAAACCATATTGAAGGTACCTATACTTTCTCTCAATTTTTAATTTGGTACCTATGTGTTTTTTTCCCTTTAATTAAACATTTAATTTTATCTTTTTAGCAACATTAGCTCTTATAACTTTGTTCTATTGATATTTTTAGTCTCTACATAAGGATTAATGATGTTAATAGAGGAAAAATAAAGATTTAGTTAAGAACAAAAAACACATAGGTACCAAATTGAAAATTGAAAAAAAGTATAGGTACCTCCAATATGGTTTTACCTAATGGTAATCAAGGTTACATTACATCCCCTTGCATTGCATAGGAGAGGGTATCTAATTGAACCAAACGAGTTTATTTGGTTTGATTAGAGAGGAGAGGATATATATAGTAATAATCAATTTATTATTTTACCTGTATATATTAATTATTCTTTTATTTATATATCATATAAATTAATTTATATCTTAACTGAAACTACTTTATTTAATTCTTGGTCAAAAAAAAAACTACTTTATTTAATAAAAATTCAGTCTTGTCATGTTAATATGTGTATTAAAAAATTGGTAAAATAATTTTTATTCTAATTAATCTAATAATATATTTTAAATAATTAAATTAAAAAATTTTATTTGCTTTTAAAAAATAAAATATTTCTTCTCTTTTGACTATGATTTTTTAACTTTAATATACATTTCAATTAATAAAATAATATATTTGCAAAAGCTAATTAATTCTATAACATATAATTTTTTGCTATAATAATATTTTTTTATTTTCAACTAATTTTTATTACAATAATATATATTTTAGTTGTAAATAATATATTTTTTATTTAAAGTTGATGTTATAATAATATATTTTCTATTTTTTGTGGGAATATTAAAAATATGAGAATAAAATGATTCAAAATTTTGGCTTTGCTGAAAAAAAAAAGTCTAATTTGGAGGGAGCTCAAATGGGGATGGGGGAGGAAGGACCTCCTCTTACAAAATGAAGAGACCTCGTCATTTGAAAATCCATTCACTGTCTTTTCTCTGTCCAAAACTATGTCGTTTTTGGTGGGAAATAAGGTGGTTGATTTTCTTTGATAAGATTTAATATATTAAAATATTTTTTAGGAATACTCAGTATCTTAAAATATTTTTTGATACACTCAGTACCTTAAAATAATTTTTTAGAAGCACATAGTATTTTAAAATAACTTTTGGTACACTCTGCAACCTAAAATATTTTTTCAATAGTACTTAATATTCTAAATTAATTTTTAATGCATCTATGATCATAAAATGTTTCGGAATAGCACTTGTGCCCTAAGTTTAGGGTATTTATTACTGCCTAGAAAAATACTGTGAAAATATTGGGTGCTACTAGAATAAGAATTATTTTAAAATACTAGCTGTCATTGAAAAAATATTTTACGGTATAGAGTGTATCAAAAATTATTTTAGGATACTAGGTGTGTACTCCTAGAAAACTATTTTACGATGCAAAGTGTACCAAAAATTATTTTAAGATTCTAGGTGTGTGTTTTCAAAAAAATATTTTAAGACGTAGAGAGTATACTAAACATTATTTTAGGATACTGGGTATGTGCTTCTAAAAATAATATTTTTCTGATATTGAATATTTTATATATATATATATATATATATATATATATAAAAGCATTCAAACCTGTTATTTTCCACCCCAAACGACATAGTTTTGGGTAGAACAGGGGCTTGCTTTGGGTAAAGGAGGGAAGCTGTTTGCTCACCCTCCCTTCAAACCAAACAGGCAGCTAAACCGAGCAGTAATCGCACGCCATTTTCAGTTCTTCGCTCTCACATTCGTCAATCTCACACTCATTATATCTCCCCCTAATTTCGCTCTCTCGTTCGGCCATCACCCTATTTCTCCGTCGGTGGAGCTCTCTCGTTTGTGCCGCCCTAATCTCTCAGATCAGTTGCACTCCCTAAGCTACCAGACATCTCGCGTCATCCGTGGTGCTCTCTCATTGGGTGCAGAAGTAAAGATTAAGGGGTATGATCAATTTCCCGTTATATATGCTTCTGGATAGGTCTTGTTTCCCCATTGTGTGTAATGATGTCCTCTCCCATGGTTGAACAAAATGAATCTATTATGCAAAATGGTGATACCCGATTTCTGTATTCTTTTAAAAAGATGATTACTTTTTTTTGGCCAATCTCGTTAAATGCTATTTTATAATTCATTTCTGTTTATTCGCTTAAAAAATTGTGACTATATGAAATGGACTTCCCTCTTGTCGTTAGTGATCGAACTGCTCTAAACCCCATCCAGGGTGGAGTGGATTGGTATAGAATGTGGTTACTGTACCTTTGTTCAGCCAAAGCATTAAACACACTGCGCCCCCTTTAATATGTTTGGGAGTTTAGATGGAATGAAACAAAAGGCTTATTAGAAATGTAATGGAGTGGAGTGGGATGGGGGAATGAAAGGTAATGTTATATTTGTTTGGAGTTTTAATTGGAGAATATTGCTAGTTGTTATAAAATTAATGGAATGGAATGGATGATGAGTATGTTTTTTCCAATTTTAGACTTAGCTTATTAGCTAGTTTAGATGGAAGAACATGAATAAATTCTTTTTGTTCAAACTTTTCTTTCTGCATGATAACTTAGTAAGAACATCTTAGAAAGAATAAAGGAATAATAATCTACATCACATAAAATTTATTCAGGTTTGTTTTTTAATTTTTGTTCATAAGTGTTTGTTATCAAATAAAAAATTGCATGGATAATTAATAAATAATAACTATTTAAAATATCTATTATTTTTTCACTATTTAAAATATTTGTTATTGAATAACAAATATATAAAATATTTGTCAAGCATGTAATAAGTTAGATCATAGATTACAATTAACGGTCAAATAACATTACTTAAGCATCAACCAAATAATTAGGCTATTGCATGGAGTATTATCATTAGTTTATGGAGGTAAGGGGAATAGGAGGATGGGAAGGGAGAGTCGAATGAGGAGGAGGAGGAGGGGAGGTGGAGGTTGAGATGAAGGAGGAGTAGGAAAAGTGGGTGGGGGGTAATTTTGTAACAATGTCGTTTATTTCAAGCCATTCTATCTTTGACGTTCCAAATTGGAGGGTCAGAAAAATGCGGGTTTAAGATGGCTAAGAATGATTTTGGGAGGCCACACCATCATCCCAAGCCATTCCATTCCTTTTAAAACATATTCCCAAACAATGGTTTAAACCTTCTAGCCATCCTACTCCATTCTATTCCATTCCAAAGATGCTCATAAATGCTGCCTTCAGTTCTCTTTTCGGCCAACGTATTTCAGTACTTCGAATGTATCACTTTTTGCCTCTCTCCCGTCTCTAGCTTGTCCCTTCGCCACTCTTCACTCCACTTTGTGTCTTTTTCGCTTCAGACTGTTGTTGCCCTGTAATTCTGTTTGCCATTCTTGGCTGAAGAAGAAGAGAATATCAGTGGTAAGCATCGATTGCCTTTTAACTATTGTAAAGATCTCTCCCTCTTCTCTCAATGGTTTGATTTCTGTTGGCTTCCACTCCATGGGATCTATGTTCATAATCTGCATTTCTCTCTTTGCTTCCATTCCAAGTAATTTTAGGAGTTTAGAGCAGAGAACACACACGAATATTCAAAATAATGGGTTGCTTTTGAAAGATAATCTTGAAAGCTGATATCAATATCGTGGCTGTGTTCTTGAAAGATAATCTGCGTTTCAAGATGCTTTCTCCCTGTGTGTGTCTCTTGTGCTTTTTGGGGGGGGGGGGTGAAAGCGTCTTGAGAGGCAAGATAATGAAGGTACATGATGATGTATAGAAAAGATAGGAAAGAGGAAGGAAGAGAGAGAAACGGAGGGAAATAGGGAGAGATAAATGGATAAATGGATAAATGGCACACACAGAGAGCTTCCCTTCAAAATTTATCAAAAAAGAAAAAGCCTGACCTGCTGAACATTCAAAGGACCCCAGAATGTGCCACTTTCAGCTGCTATTCGCATCATTGCCATCAAACCTGCATCGATAGCAACCATAGAAATAGAGTCAAACAAACTATTCAAACAAATTAAGGACACTATTCTAACACAGAGAACCTAGAAAACAATTGGCACAAATTAAACACATTTAAACACCAGACTCATTTGCAAAGGACATAGAGATGTATAAATCCAAAATCCACCCATTGTCAACATTTTCCCTCAGACACAAACACCATCAGAAATCCAATGAAAGTCATTGTTTTAAGAACCAGATTGGACCAGCCATTCAACTGGAAGACGAGTGATCTAGTGCATGTTCCAGTCCAGTATATAGGGTCAATCTGTGTTTAAGAAAACTTGTGGTTTGACTGGTTTGTCCAGTCAGATAGAAGTAAATGAAGAAGATGCAGAAGAATTGCCTCTCTTGAATCAGCTTCTTGCCTCCTTTTTTTTTTTTTTTTAAATTCTTTTTAAACCTTAGCAAATTGAGAGAATGAGGAGGGAGAGAGGGCGCGTTTAAAACTGAGCAATTGAGAGGCAGAGGTGATGAAACAGAAACTAATGTTAGAAAAGAAGAGTCACGAGTCTCATCTCCAACTTTCCTGTAGCAGTCTGCAATGTGAAAGCTGAAAAGCTCTTGCTTGGGAAAAAAAAAAAAAGGAATCAAAATATAAAGCTCTTGCTGAACGTATAATTTAATTATAATCTGTTGGACTATACCTTGAGCCAGTAGCTTTGCCTGTTCAATGATTAGTTCAGTTTTGAAAACATTGATATCAACCACTGATGTTGGATCTGATATTCTCCACTTATGAGGTTATGGATATTGCACCTGATATTAGTAGAGGAATATGAAAACTTTTTAAAAGTTCATAGTGTGTGATGACCATATTGTGTCTTCAGGGTTTCATGTAGCTGAAGAATTTATACTTGAGAATTTCAAATGTCACAAACTTTCAGTGAACTTCATTTTATCTTCTAATGGTACCTTTAACTCTTGGTTGAAGGTCTTTCGAGTAAGTTGAGACACCTGTTTTCAATCCTCAACCTAGGAGAATTTTTAAAATCTGTGTGATGGCCTGCTCAGAGCCTCCAAACGCATTGGAGTTCATGCAAGTAAATGCTGGCCCTAGGAAGCCCCGGATTCTTCTTGCTGCAAGTGGAAGTGTTGCTGCAATAAAGTTTGCAAATCTCTGTCATTGTTTCTGTGAATGGGCAGAAGTAAAAGGAGTTGCCACAGCAGCATCTTTGCATTTCATTGATAGAACAGCTATTCCCAAGGATGTGACCTTGTATACTGATGAGGATGAATGGTCTAGCTGGAAAAAGCTAGGTGATAGTGTGCTTCACATTGAGCTTCGTAGATGGGCTGATATCATGGTGATTGCTCCTTTATCAGCAAATACTCTAGCCAAGGTAAACATAGAGATGTTTGCAGATCTATGTCTCTACATTGCATCACAATGGAAATATTGCATTTGATTTATAGCATATTTGGCAAATTGGATGCTCTGAGATTAAATATAGACCATTTATAGTATGATGTTTTGATTCATATTCATGAACGTATTGTTCAATTTTTGAAGTTTACATTATATTTACAACTACAATAGGGTCGTGTGCATTTAAGCACTTAATTTTAACTTAAATATCTGCCGGTGTAGATTGCTGGAGGGTTGTGTGACAATCTATTGACATGTGTTGTAAGAGCATGGGACTACAACAAGCCCCTCTTTGTTGCACCAGCCATGAACACTTTTATGTGGAACAATCCTTTCACAGAAAGGCATCTCATCGCCATTGATGAACTTGGCATTAATCTTATCCCGCCTGTTACAAAGAGGTTAGCTTGTGGGGATTATGGGAATGGTGCAATGGCTGAATCTTCTACCATTTTTTCAACTGTAAGACTCTTTTTTGAGTCAAAGGCTCATCAAGGTAATGACAATATTTGATGACCATGACACTATCTGTAATGATGCTTCGGCAGGATTTGTTTGTTTGATGTCGTAAATCTTGCATTAGTTTCATCATTATTGTTTTTAGTGATTGTGATTCCCTGTATTTAGAATGATCGATGTTGTTGTGTATTACTCTGTAGTACGGGTTTTATGTCTCCCTCAATATTGCCACTCGATTTGTATGATATTTGGAGTACAAGCTCATGTATCATCAATATGTCACTATTTGCTTTGAAATCTCAGTAAACCTGTTCGTAGAATGACCAGAAATGACCCAGCAATCTTGCAGATGATCATGAAAAGGAAAAAAACTTGTAGGTCTTGCTGATGTTGGTTATGAACTCTGTATGGTACTCCTCCGGTTCTAAATATAAGACTCTTTTTATAGTATATACTACAAAAAAAGGTTTTATATTTAAGACTGGAAGAATATATAGTTTTTGTTCAAAATATTATTTTATTCCTTTTATAAAATGTCCTAGTGAGCAGCTGATGCTACTCTTGTTCTTGAAGATTACTCCTCCATCTTTATTTTTCTAATCATTTCAGACTGTTATTTAAACCTTAAATAAATAGGTCACTGATGGTTTCAACATACTTCCCATTACCCCAAGAAGGATTGAGTGTCTGTTTTATATGGATATTCTCGTAACCCAACTTGCGTAAGTGGAAGAAGAAAAAGAATGAAAGATGTCAGCGCGTTTGTGATGAAACTGTGCTGGAAGCTGATGACCCGAGCAAGACGTAGTGGGTTTTTGAAATCTAAATACAAATGTAGTAGTAATATACTGAACTGGGGAAAAAACAGAATGCCTCATTCAGTCACCTGGAGTAGTATTATTGCTGTATGGAAAAAATATAAGGATTGGGTAGGAGAATAGCAAAAGAGGACACATTTTTGGATTGGTGTGAAAGAGAAGGTGGCGGAGTATATCTTGCCCACAGATGAACGGAACAGACTCAAGCTCAGGGATTTGGCTTCCTAACCACGTGGCTAACACTATTACTCATACTCTACCTCTGAAAGAGATGAGTCAGAAGGATATATTTATTTGGAAACCATCCTTAGATGGAAATTTTACTGTTAAATTTACTTACCTGTTTATTTGTTGATATTTTGGAATACAAACGCTACAGTGGAACTGTGCAAAAGAAAAAAAGAATGAAAGAAAAGATGGCTAGGTTAGGTAAGATATCAAGTCTCCCCACCTAGGGGTGGAGCATAGTTGTGGGTAGCCTTTGATAGATGTAAAGGAATGGAGTGGTTAAATAATGGACTGCGAGGAAAGAAGTTGGCAAAAATCGGACCAGAGGGATCCCCTATTGTACTTAATTTGCTGGGATTTTCAGTAATCTAGATGCAGGATTTTGTTAAACTCAAAGGAGAATGAGATCTCTGATAATATCCAAACAAGTATCTTTAAAGCTTGGCAAACATAGCAAAGGATTAAGGAATGTGAAGGTGTCTATTGATCGTGTAAAGCGTACAATTTGATGGTAAGAGAAACCAGAGAAGGTCATACATACCAGACATTGTTGAAGAAGCCATGTCTTGACTTGCTAGTTGCTAAAGACTAGAATGTGCTTTTCAAAACTTCACTTATAGGGACAACATTTTGATTGCTGATTTAGTTATTTATGGTACTATTGTAGTTTGCAGTTCAATTTGAATTGCAAACTAAATCTTATACTGTCTCCGGTCTTTAATATAAAAATTCGTTTGATTTTTATTTTGATTCTAAATATAAGATCCTAATCCACTTTGTTTCTCATATTTATTTATTTTTTTAAGGTAATCCTTGTAATACTGATTATTCTAACCAATACACTTGATTAATAAGGATATATTAGAAAAGACAATACATATTTATTACAAATAACTAACTTAATTAGTTTTCTTAATTTACTTAAATTAGTCAACTAGTTCCTATATTAAGGACTGGAGATAGTATTAAAGATTGGAGGTAGTATAATACTGCTAAGGTTTTTTTAACCTGTGTTGAACCTCAAATGAAAAAAGATGGCACACGATGATATGGTTTGTTTTTTTTGCTAAAGTATAGGTATCCTCCTATTGGAGGGAATCCTATTTGAGGCACTGTTGGGCACTAAATGTGGATACTTCTCCTAGTTAGGATTCGAACTTTAGTTCACCACGTTGTGAGAGACTAACTCCTTTCGCTAGATCCAACTCTTATTGGTTCACACGATGATATGTTTTTTTTTTTTGTGGTTGCCTATCCAGTTCACCGAAACTTTGTTCTGATTACATCTAGATTCGACTCGCGCTGCGCACCTGGCTGTGGTGGGTGAGTCTTTCTGCATATGCTGAGGCTAGAACTTGAGACTTCACTTAAGCGGTACCAAGCCGCTTACCACTTGACCAACCCCCCAACGATGATATGTTAGCAACAAAACATTCTTCTACCATCGAATGGCAGATGGAGTCTGCTGGTCAAAACAAAAAAACAAAAAAGAATGGCAGATGGAGTTGTTATGGAGAATACAAGTCCTTCTTCCCCTTATTGAAGGGAACGCCACTTGTTAAACCTTGTTCATAAGAAGCCTAAGATAAAATTATTAAACCTTTTATTCTTTTCTTTCGATTTATATGAGGGCGAGCTTGACTTCATACTACTTCCTCTTTCTTTTTTCCCCTGTTTTTCAATTTAGAGAAAGAAAAATTAGTCAATAAAATCTTTTATTTTCATGATTTTTGATTTGTTTTCTATTTAACTTCCATAAGAATTAGTCCCTCCAACTATCAATTCTTGGAAAATTAGTCCCCAGAGGGTGTAATTTTGCATTCCGAAGTGACTAAATCCTAGCTGACATTTTTGTACTTTTGTAATTGCAACTCTTAACTTACCTTTTTGTCTTTTAATATTTTCAAACTTCTTTTTATATCATTTTTCCTATTAACCTTTTATTCTTTTCTTTTTTCTTATCGCCTTCTACCCTTTTCTGGTTCTTTTTTCCCTAAACAAATATACTCCTTTAATCCTTAATATAATATCTAAGTAAAAAGTTAATGTTGGTCTTATATACAAAACTTATTTTATGTGTTTATCAATTTTTTTCAAATTAATCCTATTAATATTCTTTTAACAATTAAGTAGAGAATTGAGAAAGGTGTTTAAAGTTTTTTTTTTAAAAAAAACATATCACATTGACTAATAACTAATTTAACTAATATCATTAATTTACTCAAATAAGTTAATGGAGTTTTATATTAAGGATCGGAGGAGTAGTACTACCTCTAGTCCTAATTATAAGAGCCAGTTGACTAATTTGAGGAGATTAAAGAAGTAAGTTGAGTTAGTTATTTGTCCTAAATAGGTGTTGTATTTCCTAAAATATCCTTGTTAATCAAGTGTATTGACTAGAACTACTATTATTAGAAAGACTATCTTGAAAAAAATTGAGTAAATATAAGAGACAAAGTGGATTGGGGTCTTATATTTAGGATCAAAATAAAAGTCAAACAGGTTCTTATATTAAAGACCAGAATGATGTTGACTTCACTTCCTTCAAAATTTAGATTTGAAAAGAAAAAGAAGAAGAGAATTTTTATCCAAAAAAAGGAAAACCAAACAAAAACAACAAATCATGATTCAAGTTTGCTGTGGACGTTGAGTGAGGAATCTCGTTGCGATGAGGCTCTAGACAGTAGTGGAGATCTGAGTCGATGGATTCAAGACGAATATGGAAACAGCACTATGCATCACGGAGCTTCTACTTCAGGAAGGCTGAAGGAGGGTGGACGAGGGAGAGGAAGTAGACGACTGTGTGGTGTGGATAGAAAGTTCTTACTCTAAACAAGATGATGATGTCATGTGGCTCGAGGAGGTACTTTTGTCAAAGGACTTCTCTAAACTAGATTTTTTGGGTTTTTTTTCTCACCCCCATTTTTTTAATTATTTATGTTCACATGCTATTATGTAAACTTTTATTTGTCTTTTAATTAATATATTTTATTTTTTATCAAAGGGAAAAAAGAGAAAGACTATGAGGGAGGTAAAGGCAAATAATGTATTTTTATTTTGCATATTCTTACATTTTGTAATCCCCATTCATATTTTTTAATTGTATAATTCCAATGTATCTATTTAAGTTAAGAAGCATTATACTAACTCCAATCATTTATACGAGAGTTCGTTAACTAATTTGAATGGATTAAAAAATTAGTTAAATTTATTATTTGTAATACATAGGTATTATTTTCTTTAAAATACCCTTACTAATCATATGTATTAATTAGAATTACTATCTAATAATACTTTTAAGATGTGTAATTATTACAAGGACTACTTTAAGAAAAATGAATAAATATGAAAAAAATAAATTGGGGTCTTATATTTAAGATTAAATTAAATATCAAATTAACTTTTATATTGAGAATATGAGGTAGTACTATATACACCCAGCTCAACATTTAAATCACCTTTTTTCCATATGCATTGCATGCAATCCTCTTTCATTTAATCTTTAAAATTCAAATAGAGTCTAATAGCAATCACTCCAAACCATATCTTTTTTAGAATGAGTGAAGGCTAAAAGGAAAATGTTATAAATTATTAATAAAAATTTTCAATTTTTTTTGGACTGAATAAAAATTTTCAATTTAACTCTATTCAAATTAAACCAAACCCATTTTATTAAAAACGTCCCAATTTTGATTGAAATCGCTTGATTTGATTTTACTATTTACTTTACAGAAGACCGCACTTTTTTTGGGGTCAAAATAGAAGCCCACACTTAACCTTTCAACACTTGTAAACTTAAAAAAGGTCAAATTTTTTTTTGTAAACTTAAAAAAGCACGTGGCAAAAAATAATATTAATAAATATTACATTTTATTTTTAATAAAAAATTAGATAATTAATTTTAAAATATTAAACAAATTAGTTAATAAATTATTTACTACAAATATATGTTGATATTACTAAACTATTTTGTTCAGTAATATATATTACATGATTGGAATTATTCCTTACCATCAATATAAATATCCACAAAAAAAAAAGATAATAAACAAAGTAGGTTAAAATCTGGTACTAATATTTAAAATCAGATCACCCCTTCAATTAGCTTTTTCAGGAGGAGGTAATAAATAAATAAAGGCGGTGTCCAGAGTCGGGAAATATTTTAGCCACTGGAATAGAATTAAAAAAACAGTTATCACAAAAAAAAAAAAAGAATAAAAAAGAAGTCTAAGAAGAGGGGAGGAATTTGAAGAACCTGGAAAGTACGGTGCGCTTGGCGAGGCCATCGATTTTCGGCTTAGCGCGGCATTCCTTAGGTGCGACCCTGTTTCATCGTCTCGCATCGTTTTCCTTTCCGTCCTTATAATCTTTGCTTCGTTTGTTGCTCGATGAAATGTTTAGTATTTCTCTTTTAAGGGAAGGCGATTGGTGTAGATTTGGGTGCTGTAAATTTGATTGTGAATTTTCTAAATCGTCTTTGATGGTTCTATCTCCTTGGATCTACATTTTTCGTTTGTTTAATAAACACTTTCATTTGCTTACGAGACCCTGATGGACGTTTCAAACTATATATTAGTTGGCGGTTCATTATATTCGTATATACCTAAAATGAAATTGTTTTTAATTCTCATTGCCGGAATGAAATGTTTTTTTTTTTTTTATGCATTTGGTGTAATCTGTTAATTTGACAGCTTTAGACACATGATATAAATCATCGGGGGAAAAAAACTCAAAACAAATACTTATGAATCTCACAAGTTTGGCCAATGAGATACTGAAATGTAATAAATCATGGGATATGATATTTTACGCCGGAACTATGGTCTAATTACAAAAATCAATGCATGAAATTTAAAATGTATCAAATGTTAAAGCACACCATTATGAACTTTATAATGCAATAAAAAACCCCTGAAGTAATGTTTGACGTATGGTGTTCGTGGGGTGTTTTGTTACACTTCAAAGTTTAGAGGATGAGTTTTTGAGTTTGGAAGTTCATAAGCAAATTTTGTAATTTATCCGTAGTTCAGGGGTAACTGTATTTTATCCTTAAATCAATGATGATATTGAGCTTCAGATTGTATTGGGAGAGGAGCGTATGATTGGTACTGTTTTATGCATATTGTATGTCAAATGCTCTCTTCAATTGTTGGGAGCAAATAATTCCATATGGTAAGTGATTATTGGGGATTTTTATGGATTTCTGCACATTTTGAATTAGCTTTTCCCCCCTTCATAGAGTTCCAATTCTAGGAAAGACAAAAGCAAAAATTTTGAGGAAGAGGTAATTTGTGTATGAAAAAAAAATTGATCATTTCTCTCATCATTATTATAATGTTCAGCAATGTGAGAGGGTAGGTGATATACCTTTCTGGGCCCTTTGGCTAAGAGCAATTAGGAGGGTACGTGAAGAAAGCCAAAAATACTTATGCTAACTAATGATTTTAAATGACGGGGTGACTGTCTTCAAAGGAAAATTTTTTCTGAATTTGCTCAAAAGCATATGCTTCAATTTTCAGCTTCCTTTGTGCATTTGTAAAGCTGTTGCATTACAATTTTCAAATTGAAAAATGTATTTTTATTCCTGAATCATAAAATGTGTGGGATTCTAAGATTCAGGAAGTGAAAAGTAGCTGAGATGGAAAATATGACATAGGTTTGTGGTTATAATATGTAGAAAATACTCAACGTAGTAAATCTTACCCATGACTTAAGAACACTACTTAATATAAATGAAAGATGAACTCATTAGTTAGAAATTTATAACCAGATAATTCTTGACATAGTCACAAATGACATCTTAGCATGCCTCATATGAGACTGACAATATCTAACAAAAATGCAACATTGTATGCCATTTATTGTTTTCTAATTTCTGATTCATAAAATCAACCGCTCTGCCATATCAACTCCAGTCTCACAATTTGCAGCCAGCTCAGGACTTCTGATTCAGTTGTTGATTCGTTTTGATGTGTTTGTCTTTGTTACTCATTAAAAATGTTAAAATTTCAATAGTGAATAATTGTATGCTTTTGACGACTATGGTTAATACTTTTTTTTTTTTTTTTTTTTTGTGTTGGGCACCCCCCCGGGGGGGTTACTTTCTCGTTGAGAGCAATTGAGAACATTAAAACATTGTATAGAAATGTTTAGTTATGAAAAGGACTTCTTCGGCCTGAATACGAAAATATCATGGATACTATGGGAAAATCTGTTTTCTTTGTCCAGTTGGAGGTTATCTTACAGCGTTACCTTGCTGTAATATTAGTTGTATACAGATAAACCCTGGAAGTTTAGCTCCCGTGCCCCCACCTCCCAAGTCCTTGCTTTTCTTAGCTTGAAGTCATTAACATTTTACCATTTTACCTTGTTCTTATTTATGACGTTTATGTGTGAATTATTAATGCGGTAGGATACCTCATAGCTCTGTTGTGAAGCAACTGTCTATGTTAGATGACGCCATCATTTGTATTCTTTTTGGATACATTTTTTAAACTTTTGTTCCTTTTGCTTTTACCCACTGCTTCTTCATTGTTTGTCACTTCATTCATTTCTTGCTTTATTTGTGTTTGTTCTAATTCACCTGTGATGTTGTTTCCTGTTGCCTTTGATTGCTCCCCCCCCCCCTCTGTCTTAATTAGTGCTTTCGAAGTTCAAGAATCCACCACATAAGTCTGTTATCTTTTCTTTTTGCAGTTGATCAAGCTACAATAGAACTGCTTTGCATGCTTTTGGTGTTGGAAGAGGCCATCTATATAGCAAAATGAAGTAAGACCGTCCTTGCATCTTTTGATAATAAAAACTTTCTATAAAATGTAAAGTTGACTGCATTAACCAGTGTTTCATATGAGGGATTTGGAGGGGAGGGGAGGTATGTTGCTCCCCTCCCCTTGTTTTGGGTGCGAAAAAATTATAGGAGAGGAGGGAAAGTTTTTACGTCAGTGCTGATATACCCTTATTTTATTTTAATACCCCAAATTAATCTTGCTAAACCAGGCGTGCCTGCTCGCCTCTTGTCTCGCTCACTTTTGTATTGTCCTCAGTTCTCTTGCTCACCTCAGTTTGGACGAAGAAGATGACCACCACAAATTAGTTGGACAGAATGTGAGGAAGCCTCCTTCTCCACCCTCTTCTGCCACCGCTGTGTTCCATTATTCTCCTACACTTCACCACTGATGCCCACACCCTCTTTCCCACCAATTTCCCTTCTCTAAAGTTTGATCCGCTACATGAATAAATGAAAGAGTCTTAAATCTGTTTTATTTGTGCGGATTTCTTTGAATAAAGAGCTTCAACAGGTTTTGCTGTCTCCCATTAAGACTGGGAATTCGATTGAATCCAAATTTGGTTCTGGAAATGCTAGTTTGGGTGTTGTCAGTGATCATAGTTGTCCAAAAGTGGATCAGATTTTGTCACAGAGAAGAACAATTGAGTGGAAGCCAAAAGCTGATAAATTTTTGCTTGCCATACGCGTTCCTTTGCTTGGAGAAGCATGCGTTTTGGAGGCTCTTATTTATCTGGTTTTGGTTATTCCTGACTTGAAAGTGGCTCATCAGTTTTGATGGAGTGCTGGATATTGATAACATTAATAAAGCGATTATCATCAGTTAAGTTTGAGTGGAATAAAAAAGGTATAATTGATAATTATATATTATTAAAATTGTATTGTGATCATATATAATTTTATACATCCATAATTATATGTATTAAACAGTAACATACAATATGAATAACAATTTAAATAAGGCTATAGTTGTCCATATATAATTTTTTTCCCTCCTCTCCCCTTTGTTGAACCAAACAAACCCTAAGGTAATTGATTTATATATAATGATAATCAGATAATAATATTACCTGGAGAGTCATTTCCTTTGGTGGCCTATGTTGTAACTCCTGAAGCTTAAATGGGCTTTCAAACTAGATTGTCCCAAATATAATATCAATTCCCAGGCCTTCTTCTTGGAGCTTAACTTTTGGGATAAATTGATTATTGATATGGTTTTGAAGTGTTTCCATGCACCATGGCCTAAACCAGTCCTTATTTCCATTTTGTTGGAATTGTTCTTTAAATTTCTTTCTGCCTTTCATCTTGTTACTGAAGTCATTTAGCCAGGGTTCTCCTGTAAAGGGTTGACCAACTGAACATTAACGGGAGAACTCTTAAATGACTTTGTAGTTTGAGTGAAAAATGAAATAGGTCTAGGGCGTGGCTTTAACGTGCATTTCCAAGACACCATGTAACGTGAAATCCCACTGGTCTTGAGCCAAATCGAAGTATGGTTAGAGAGTCAAAGTTTCTGTAAAAGCCAAGTTAGAATCTCATACTCTCATCAAGTCCCATGCTTTGCAACTGGGTTTTGACATTCCATCATGCTTCACGGCCCTGTTGTCCAGACTGGCTGGCTCTGTTATAGCTTCCTAGCCATGGGCTAACACTGTTATACTAATCTCATCACAAACAACCAAAAAGGAGACAGAAAACAAAAACTGTTAATTGATTCCATATATATATAATTTTTCCTTCTTAATTTAATGAGTGATGCATTTGGTATCTCATTACAGGCAGAGGGGACGTGTAAGATGGGACGAGGATAATATTGGAGAAATTGAGGCAAACAAACCTGTGAGACAGAAAATCACTGAACCTAAGACTCCATATCACCCAATGATTGATGATGATAGTATGTACATATGATCATTTAAGGGGCATTCTTTTTTTACATTATACTGCGCAGGTCAAATTATGTAAAAATGTAGCCCTACCTTTATTTCTGTGAGGGAAAAGGAAGAGATAAATCAACATTGTATTTAATGCAAGAAGGCTCATTGTTATTGTTACTTGTGAGTACAATCTCACCGCATAACTATAAATTCTAGTTTAGGTTCCTCAAAGTTGCTTTTTAGGTGCATTAGTGCATCCGTTTCAACTCTTCATATAAATTGGATAAATATGTGCCTTTTGTTCTTTCGGTCTCAGATGAGTATATATTTTTGATACCAGGCCTGTCATTTAGCTCTATTTGTAGAGCCTCTCCATGTGCAGTTAACATTTATCTGAATGCTCTATTTTTAAGGTTCTCTGTCCCCTGTACGAGGAAGTTTTGATAAATGCAGTGATAGCCAAAGACAACCAGTTGATGCGGAAGCAATACGCACTGCTTTGAATGATGTAGCCTCTTCGAGCAGCAAGAGCGCCAAACGATCTGGTGGCTGGGCATCGTCTGAGGATGAGGCAGATGAAATGATGGTGGATGAAGGTTTCCTTTTATGTCCTATGCTATCTGCATTTGTTCTTTTTAATATAATCGCCTTTCTTTCCAGTGTGATTCTTTCTGTTTTTATCTGCATGTGCTTACCAATCATCAGATGCTGATAATTAAGTTTTGATTTAGATGAGCCAAATCATTTGATAATTATATGATACTGTTATCAAATACTTCCAATGTAAAGGACACGAATTCAGGAGAAATGCACTGCACTGGTACATAAACAAGTCCACTCTACTACAGCTACAATGGCACTATAAGGGAAGGGAAACAGAACACACTCCAGATTCTAACACAAAAGTTAACAACCTCACTCAATGACACTACAACCTCAATAGGACAGAAGCTATAAAACCTAAAACAGCAGATTTGCCAATCGTTCGAGAGGATTGGTTCTCTCCATTCCACTGCCTCAGCCTGACTTGGAATTCTTCCTGCCTTCTCCTAGTGAACCAAAAGGGACGACTTATAGACCCCCGAAAAGTGACTCTTACCGCCCCCTTCTCTCAGACTTTGACTATAAAAGTGTCATGAATGAGCTCCTAGTAGCATCTGATGATTTTGTTGTTTATATATATTTATGCACTTGTTTAATGATTTTGGTTGATATGATTATTGATAAATCAGTTGTAATCTCAATTCGATCCTGATCTTCCTCTGCTGTGAATATATTACTAGATTCTGGAACAGATAGAAGCAAGAGTTTTAAAGAGCACAGACGAGCCCACTATGATGAATTTCTGAAACTGAGAGATCTGCGACGGAAGGGTTCTTTTCTGGATGAAGGCGATGAAGACGATGCTGATGTTGAGGGTGATAAGTCAGGGAAATGCGACTCATCCTCCTTAAGTGCCAGTGTGAAGGAAATAGACATTAAGGACGTAAATTCTCCGATGGCCTCGAGTAAAGAGTAACTCTTAGCAGCCTGCAGATAAACCCCCCATGTCATGTTGTTAGTGTTTCTAATTTTGTCGATAGGCGATAACTGAGAGTCATATCCCTTGTATCAGTTGTGTAAATACTCCTGATTAGCTTTTCATTATTTCTTGCAGTATTATAGTGTGAACTTGGATGATACATGTACACTTTTGCCCTCTTGATCTGCTGATGCGGCGGCGGGATTTTGTGGGTTAAAAAAAAAAAAAAAAGCCATTGTGGGTGTTGCTCGGAAGGATAATAGTGAACGATGATTTAGCCTTTGAAGATTAGTTTTTTTAATTTCTATAGTTTTAACTCGATTTTGTTCATGCAAATAGAAAAAGAAATCTAGGAAAGTCATCTCAATTAAATCTGCTTTCTAATAATTTTGGATCAAAATATATACCTATATCTATATGTATAGAGGCCTAAAAATGAGAGGGTGAAGTAAGTATGTGCGCGCGCGCGCGCGGGGGGGCGTGCGGGCGTGGGCGTGGGCGTGTGCGTGTGTTATAAGAGCTATCCTTTCAGGTTCTAAAGGAAAAAGGAAAAAAGAGTTGTCGTTGTTTTGAATGTCTTGACAATACTAATTTTTGTTTAGTCGAACATGTTTAGATTCATCAATGGCAATAAATAGTTTATGCTACTTGATTAGAATTATCACAATATTGTTTAAACTTCAATCTATTTCCTCCATTATTTTTTTTATTAACCAAATTATCTAGGCTTAGCATTTTTTAGTCTGTTGAATAGTATTTCAATCTTAATTTTTCTTTCACTTGGGCTTACAACCTTATACCTCAGAAGCCTCCCCGCTCTGCCTCTCCCTCTCCCTCTCCCTCTATGTATATGTGTGTGTGTGTGTTAATGCACTTTTTGAATTTTACAGTCGTTAATATAATAGACTCTCATATCGTATCACGTTAACAACTTTTTATAACACAGCTAATTATATAATGTGAAAAAGGAATAGCATATAAAGAATGGCATACATAAAACAGAAACATAAAGACAAACCAATCATGTTAACACAAAACGAATAATGGCCAAGTTTTGATCAATCTCAGTTGTTTAAAACCGTTTCTTTCGCTGGGGAAGAGTCAGCAGTGACCAGGAAAGGGAGAGGCGCTGGCATTCATCTCGTGTTCATTACTTCGACCTTTCTGTTATGTTTAAAAATTATGCTTTTTCTGTTTTGTTTCATTATCCTCTCCCTCCATTTTCTTTTTTCCCCATTGTATATACCCCATTCTGACTTTCGTCTCTCTTCACTTCTATCTCTCCTCTCCCCTTCTCTTCAATTTCATCTTGCATTTCTATTAGGTGCATTTTTTCTCTCTTTATTTCTCTCTTTTTTCTTGAACAAAAACATATTTGATATTGGTATTAAGAAGGTTAATTTTAATGCAGGATCATATGTATCCAACCGTTAAAACTTTGAACAGGCCTGCGCCTTCTTCAGGTAATTCCTCTCTTGCTTTGTTATTCATTACTTTCTTCAAAATTTTCATTTCAGCAGCCTTATCTATTTTTTATGGAGCACTCATGACTGTTCATTTCTACCTCAAACAAAAAGAAGAAAAAAAATGAGCCACTGATCAGTGTGATGAAATGTGTATGTTGTTTTTAGGCCCATTTGTTCTTCCATTCACTTTTGCTGTATGCTATTCTTATTCTGGTGTTGAGCTCTTTTGCTGTCACTGGTCTTAAAGAATGCACCAACACTATTACCCAATCTCATACCTTACGTGCCCAGTTCTTAACAGGAAACAAGAGGTTATGTCCCGATATCATCTCACACCAACGGATGACTCTTTCCGGCAAACTTTGCTGCCCAGAAAGTTAGTGAATGAAGAAAAAGAACAACAGGATTAGGCAACGATGTACAGAAATATTAAGAATAAGTGTATGTTGAACTCGCCTCAAGGTCTTCTTAGAGAGGTTTCGCTGCATGATGTGAGATTGCTTCCGGGCTCAATCCATGCTCAGACACAACTTACAAATTTGGAGTATATGTTACTATTAGATGTTGACAGTGTACTCTGGAACTTCAAGAAAATGGCTGGTTTGCCCACTCCTGGCAAGCCTTATGAAGGTTGGGAAAGCCCCAATTTGGACCTTCAAGGCCATTTTGTTGATAAGGTTATTAATTTCATTCATCATCTTGACTATCTATTTTGTTATTTCTAGTTCATGTCTTCATAATACAATGTCTCTGACCACATTTGAACTTTATGGGTCATCTAAATGTGAGCTATAATTGGATTCTATTCGGTTGAAGGAGAGATATATGAGTGAAAAAGACCACGAAAAAATATCAAGATTTTGTGTCAAAATGTGATGTCAAATTTATCTATATATTTCTTACCAAAATCCAATGCAATAGAATGACTTGGAGGATGTATCACAAACCAATTATGTCTCACTTTGTCAAGCTTTTAATGTTACACCATCCAGCAAAAAGCCACAAGTTTTAGCATTTGTAGTTACTTTACATAATCAATATATAATTGATTGATTTCCTACATTGTGAAGGGCACTAATTGAGTGCATCGGCTCATATGTGGGCTAGCACACATAATGATACTTTGAAGGAGAAAATGTCAGCTCTTGTTGCTGGTCTTTCAGCCTGTCAACAGAAACTTGGGACAGGATATCTTTCTGCATTTCCATTTGAATTTTTTGATCGCTTGAAGCACTTTAATTCATGCGGGCTCCTTATGTTGGATTTAAGTGTTTTGATGATAACAAATTAAGTTTCTAAGTATATCTGAATATCTGTTATATTAATCGATTAAATGTTCGATCACTAGTTAATCAAACATGTGCCAGATAATTGTCAAAGATTTTTGTGTTCATTTACTGTTATGATCAATCAATCATGTGATAAATAATTTACTCTGTTCAATAACTTGTTAGAAAAATGGGTTGATCGATCAACTAACCGATCTTTAGTATAACTATTGAATATAAGATGGTTCAGGAAATAATCAATTACTTAATCGATTATTGGTTGATCGATAAGTTTTCAGGAAAAAGGCTTAAGTTTCACACCTATAACAAAGGTTTATCGATCACTTGATCGATCAAGAGGTAATTGATAGTGACTCAAATAATTGGTAAGGTTCCTTGTCTTACTCACTATCTTAAATAGTTTATAAATTATCGAACACCTTATCGATCATTGTTTTATCAATAACTTGTTCAATCAAAGCTTTATTCTGTTATTTTATAAATCAAGCTTCTTACAATCATTAATCGATCACTTAATCGATTGTTTATTAATTGATCATTTAAACAATCATCAACTTATCTTTGTGCATAATTGTCTAAGTCTTTTTGAACTATTTTTTCGATAACTTGTTCGATCAAACCTTTATCAATCAAGTGTCAAATCATTATGTTTAAAAGATATTTTCACAGTAACTCAAAATTATCAATGAGATGTTTGATCAAACGATTATCGATCATCTGTTCGATCAATGCATCAATTCATCACTCAAACAGCTTTTCACGGTGATTTTTCATAAAGCATATTTTCATTTTATCTTTAAACTTTTCTTAGCCTTCTTTGATCATATTATTTTTCTTTTTAAAGATACGAAGGCATACAAATTTGAACTTAACTAACCCTTTAGGATACTACTCAAACTGGCTAAGCATTAGAGAAGATTACTGCCCTGAAGTTGTTAGGAGATTTTACTACAACATGGAATCAATAAAAGAATATGATGAATAGGATAATTTGGTAAAGAATTTTCTGACCACTAAACTTAAAGGCAGAACCATTACTCTTACCTTGCAAAGATAAATAAGCTCTTGGGAACTCAAGAACATGTCAAAGGACCTGACATGAATGATATAAAGGTTTATAAGATTCTGATGCAGAGTGATGCTTATCTTGGATAATTGAGTTTCCCTCCAAAGCAAATATGTGATTGTTATATACTCCAGGAGCATAGTAAACAAGTTTGGGAGCTTCTCTAATCTGAATCAAGATGATTACATCTTACTGGCAAGAATTATCAGTGGAGAGAAGATTAATATTGGGGCTTTAATTTACAGTAAAATATATAATTTCACCCTCCACAAGTCTAAGTCCACCCCCATTCCCTATCCTCAACTGGCCTCATACTTCCTCTAGGTGCGTAACGTTACATACTTGGAGCCTGAGGAAGTCAAAAAAAAAATTCTCATCTTTAGAATCAATCAGTTGAACAAAATGCAGATTCCAATACCCTTTGACCATCACAGAAACTGGCAACCAAAGGGAAAAGGAAACAGCTAGTAGCTAGTGCATCAAGAGGTCAAGATGAAGCTTAATCCTCTACAAAGCCCTCTTAAACCTCTGGCCATTCATTTTATGTAATACCATCCGAGAAATATTCCATACTGAGCTGTAAGAGTTTGAGAGAGGGGTGTATGCCACTGCTAAGGAGTATAGAGAGGTGTCTGATAGGAAATTTGAGGGATTGCACACTATCCTGGACCTTTATCGACAAGCTATGGCAGTGTTAGAGAGAGAAGTTTCTTAGAGATTTGATATGGTAGACAAGGAGTTTCATGAACTAAAGAAGATGGTTGCCTCCCTCTCTGCTAGCTTCTCTGGTCCTATCACCTCATTCTCTTATGAGAACCTATTCTCTCATCCACCCTCACCTCCACACACTGAACTTGCACCCTCAGAACCCACACCACTCACCACTGTCTCCACATCTTCTACCTCACTTGCCATTATTCCAGTGCCTCCACCTTAGCCTCAACCACTACCTCCTATCTCTCAAGCTCTCTCTTCTTTTTCACAGCTTCCTCCTCTTCCTATCCCCTTTACCTTACCTTCCTTTTTCTCTCCTTCCACTTCTTCCCTTGATGCTGACAAAAAGGGGAAGAAGAATTCTGATTTAGACTAGATTTGTGTATTTCTGTTTTTAATTTTGTTGTTTCGTTTTCAAATCCTGTATTCTGATGTTATCGGATTCTGGTGTATTATTTACATTAATTTCAATTTACATGAATTTCAGTTTATTAGTCTCTGCAAATTTCCCAGTATACTATTAGTTTATAGCTTTAGAATTATCATATTCTAAATTTACTAGCTATTCTACAAATTATTCTGATCAAATTGCTTACATTCTTATTCCTCAAGTGTTAAATATTTTTCTATGTTTTGTCATCATCAAAAAGGGGAGAATGTTGGATTTAAGTATTTTGATGATACCAAATTAAGTTTCTAAGCATATCTAAATATCTGTTAGATTAATCGATCAAATGTTCGATCACT